CACCACTTCCACTTATCCATCCCCCCACCACTGCCACTAATCTCTTCAACCACCCAGCACTACCACTGATCCCAGGAGTCCTAAGATCCCTAGCAGTTTTTGGTGGGAGTTTTTGGTGGGTCCCTTCACCTTCTCAGTCCATGGTGTGCAGGCAGTGAGGAGATTATGTACTGTAACCTTCAGCAACCAATCAGTGAGCTGTAATGATGTGCTGTAGTCTCTAGCAATCAATACGTAATTGGTAATGATGCACAGTAACCAATAGCAACCAATGAGCAGTAATAATGTACAGTAACCTGTAGTAACCAATCAGTTAGCAGTAATGATGTGCAGTAACCTCCAGCAACCAATCAGTGAGCAGTAATGATGTGCAGTAACCTCTAGCAGCCAATCAGTGAGCTGTAATGATGTGCAGTAACCTCTAGCAACCAATCAGTGAGCTGTAATGATGTGCAGTAACCTCTAGCAACCAATCAGTGAGCAGTAATAATGTGCAGTAACCTCTCGCAATCAATCAGTGATTGATAAGGATGTTCAACAACCTCTACCAGCCAATTAGTGCACAGTAATGATGTGCAGTAACCTCTGGCAAACAATCAGCAAGCAGAAATCATGTGTTGTGACCTCTAGCAACTAATCAGTGTGCTGTAGTGTGCTGTAACCTCTAGCAACCAGTCAGTGAGCAGTAATGATATGCTGCATCCTCCGGCAACCAATCGCAATCGCTGCCTGATCTAATGCAATAAACTGATTTTCAGTCTAGCTGCTATTTATTGTATATCTCAGAGCAGGTGGAGAGCAAAACTGCATGGGGGGGGGGGGGAAAAAATGTTTGCCCAGAATCCAATCAATATTAAAGATGGTCCTGCTCACTAGGAAGAGCCCAGTGATCCTGTGGCTAAGTGAGTAGCTGATTCTCAATGCTGGAGGAAAAGTGACTTTGTGTGTAGCTTTGTTCAACTCTGAAAGGAGTACAGGTCGCCCACAGCATTAGAGATCTTGAGGGACATTTAGTTGTTTGGACAGTGCAGCCAGCTGTCAGTGTAGTGCAGCCAGCGGTTCTGTGAAGTGCAGCCAGAAATTGAGGAGTCCTTAAATTATCCAGTTCTACAGTTCCGGGGTATCCCATGCTTCCTATCCCTATCCAAGTTCATTGTTCCCAATAAAAACTTACAAAAATAAATTTGAGACTGTTTTCTGAGCCGGTGGCAGAAAGAATAAAATAGTGTGTGTCTAAGGGGGGAAATAAGACCAAATTCACTAGCTGCTCTTTAGGGGGTGTGCTACAATTAGGACTACAGTTATCTTTATATAATCAAATGATTGCTTAATCAAGGAGATCACTACATTTCTATGAGTTCCAGTGACTTGAACTTTTAATTGCTGGAGTCTGTTATGTTCCTGCCAAGAATTCTCCAACCAAGTAATTTCTCTGTATGCGTAGAAAGATATAAGACTTGGCAAGTGTACTGTAGCCGAAGGTTTCTCACTGATTCCAGGAAATACTGGTACAATACCGGTGTGATCCTGGCTTACAATCTAATATCACTTCCATAGATAACAGAGTTATTGTTTGGCACAGTATTTTCAGTGATTTATCTGGAAATGGGTTCATGTGAAGACAAATTATATTATCACACGTCTTTTTTTTTTATTAGACTTTAACAAACTCTATGTAAAAGTATTAAGATTTATTCTCATATTAATAAAACAAGAACATTTTATGTGGGCACTTTTGCAGTACATAGAACAAGTTACACAGGCTCTTCACGTGCCTACCAATGAGTCATATAATGAATCACATAATATAAGTTTGAGCTCCACGTATTGATGACCAAACATTTTCTTCCATGTGGTATTGACTCACGTAATCAGTGAAAAATAAAGCTGGTCATACATGGAGTGAATTTTGGCCAGTTCCTGATGATCCGACTGATATTTGACCTGTAGTTGGCCCTGACAGCCCCCTTCTGACTCCACATGCTTTGATCTAAAAATCCAAGGAGCTGGGTGGACAACTGTCCAATCAGATGCAGAGTATTCTGATAGCAGTGGAGGTCTGTCTGCCTGAATATATTAGCCAGCAGGAGATATTCCTCCATCAGCACGGGTCAGCCGTAGACTCACTTGTACTTTATAGTGTATGTAATAAACAAATATTTTGTACATTGAAGCTCATCGGTCTTTAGATGCAGTGGCTGCATTCGTTTGAATTTTTCATTTTTTTCCTTTATTTTCACTCAATTATCTTGCAAGTTAATCCTTTCCTGTCCTAGGACAATAACATATAGTGCATTAAATAGGAAAAAAAAACAATGCCCCATCACTGAATATTGGGTATATACCAAAATGTAATTTAATTTAAACTATGACTTTAGTAACAAGTGTCACATAAACGTATCAACAAAACATTCTTCTGTGTCCAAAATCAAAGACCTAATTGTATCCAGTGTGTTGTATCAAGTGTTGCAAGAAAATTCTTTTCTTATAGCTAGTGAATCGTCAATTCTAATATACACTATATTGCCAAAAGTTTTGGTCAGCCTGCCTTTACACGCGCATGAACTTTAATGGCATCCCAGTCTTAGCCCGTAGGGTTCAATATTGAGTTGGCCCACCCTTTGCAGCTATAACAGCTTCAACTCTTCTGGGAAGGCTGTCCACAAGGTTTAGGAGTGTGTCTATGGGAAGGTTTGACCATTCTTCCAGAAGTGCATTTGTGAGGTCAGGCACTGATATCTGACAAGAAGGTCTGGCTCGCAGTCTCCACTCTAATTCATCCCAAAGTGTTATATTGGGTTGAGGTCAGAACTCTGTGCAGGCCAGTCAAGTTCCTCCACCCCAAACTCACTCATCCATGTCTTTATGGACCTTGCTTTGTGCACTGGTGTGCAGTCATGTTGGAGCAGGAAGGAGCCATCTTCAAACTGTTCCCACAAAGTTGGGAGCATAAAATTGTGCAAAATGTCTTGTTATGCTGACACCTTAAGAGTTCCCTTCACTGGAACTATGGGGTCAAGCCCAGCCCCTGAAAAACAACCCCACACCATAATCCCCCCTCCACCAAACTTTACACTTTGCACAATGCAGTCGGGCAAGTACCGTTCTCCTGGCAACTGCCATACCCAGACATGTTCATCGGATTGCCAGACAGAGAAGTGTGATTCGTTACTCAAGAGAACATGTCTTAACTGCTCTAGAATCCAGTGGTGGCATGCTTTACGCCACTGCATCTGATGCTTTGCATTGCACTTGGTGATGTAAGGCTTGGATGCAGCTGCTCAGCCATGGAAACCCATTTCATCAAGCTCTGTATGCACTTTTGTTGTGCTAATCTGAAGGCCACACAAAGTTTGGAGGTCTTTAGCTATTGACTCTGCAGACAGTTGGTGACTTCTGTGCACTGTGTGTGCTTTAGCATGCGCTGACCCCATTCTGTCATTTTCCATGGCCTACTGCTTTATGACTGAGTTACTGTTGTTCCCAATTGCTTCCACTTTTTTATAATACCACTAACAGTTGACTGTGGAATATTTAGTAGCAAGGAAATGTCACGGATGGACTTATTGCACAGGTGGCAACCTATCACGGTACCACGCTTGGATTCACTGAGCTCTGAGCTCATGAGAGTGACCCATTCTTTCACAAATTTTTGTAGAAGCAGTCTGCATGCCTAGGTGCTTGATTTTATACACCTGAATCCAAAGATTTCAGCTACAGATTGTATGGCAAAAAAAATCTGATTCTTCCTTCCATGTTATACAGTGCAGACAGATGAATCTGCAGTTTTGTAGCCAGTGGCTATTAGAATAACTGAACAGTGGCCGCATCTGATTAGATACTGATGCTATTTAAATGACTATTTCCTACCTGGCTCCATTGAACTTTCAATCAAAGGATGTCAGGGGGAGGGGGCAGACAGGCCCACCCATGAAGTGAAATTTGCACATTGTATGGCAAGCTTGGGGAAATGTAACATAATATATATACCATGTAAAGTAAAAGACCCAGACAACAGCACTCCAGCTTTGGAGTGCAGCCATCCAGATCTTTTTTTTTCATAGGAGCAGTTTCGAGCCTGCCTGGCACCCTTTGTATGCTGGATGTAGAGTTGTATGGTGTGGGCTGACCTGGAGCTGGATCTAAAATGAGTGATCTCCACTTGCTTCCCGATACCGTGATGAGTGGCTGTCCTGATGCATTCTGAACACGGGAGGTCACTGCTCAGCACAGGCGCCTTTTAGAGATTGTAGAGAGGCAGAGTGGTGACGTGACATTTGCTATGGGCACATACAGTACATTTTTGGTAGAAAACCACTGCAGTGCTGAAATTTGTGCAATTCCTCATTAGGGATGTGCTCAGTATTTGGTTCAAACATAAGTTCAGACCGAACACTGGCTGTTCAGACAATCGTCCGAACAACAAATTCTTAGAGTGTTCTGTGTGGAAGAACATGACTGTTTCCCACTGTCGTCAATGGTTTCTAAGGAAGCAGGGGTTGCTTGCACCCTCTCTATCTTCACTAACCACTGAAGCCACACAGCCCATTCACTTACGTGGCCAGGAACCCCTGGCAATATAAGCAAATGCATGGGGAAATAGAGCATCATATAATTGCCTAGATATGGCCATGGGCATATTTAGGCAGTGATATCGCACTATTCTTGCCCCATAACCACCTGAGGATTTACCCCCCTTCCTGACCAGGCCATTTTTTGTGTTACGGCACTGCATTACTTTAACTGACAATTGCGCGGTCATGCAACGCTGCACCCAAATTAAAATTTACATCATTTTTCCCCATGAATTGAGATTTCTTTCGGTGGCATTTGATCGCCTGTGCGGTTTTTAATTTTTGCACTATGAAAAAAAAGACTGACAATTTTGAGAAAAAAAACAATATTTTTTACTTTTTGCTATTAAACATGTCCAGTAAAAAAATTTTAAAAAATTCAAATTTCTTTTATTTTTTACAAATAATGTTGGCAAACAACGACTTATGGCAGGACTGTGGTGGGCAGTCTGACACTGGGGGGAACTGACTTGGTGTCATTGACATCCCCAGTGACACCAAAACAGTGATCAGTGCTAAAAAAAAAAAAAAGCACTGACACTGTACTAATGGCACTGGGCAGGAAGGGGTTAACATGAGGGGTGAGCAAAGGGTTAACTTTGTGTAGGGAGTGTTTTACTGGGGGGGGGGGGGGCAGTGTGTTGGTACTTCACTGTAAGGACAATGCTCTGCACAGCCATCCAGAGCAGTGTGCCTGAGCCGACAGGGAGGAGGACTGTTAGTAAACAAAGCAGCCATCCTCCCTGTCAGAGATCCTCCGTAATCACCAGGTGCCGGTGGGTAATCACCGCCCGGGACCCAGTGATTGACAGCCATGGCCGTGAGTGGCGGCTCGCGCGCATTCCCCTCACCTGGAAATGCAAAATCACGTAGATATACGTGATTTTGTGCACCCCTGTAGCAGTATATCTGCTACAGGGCGGTGGGGATGTGGTTAATTAATATAGCTGATGACAGCTCTGGGTTCTGTCATTAGGCTTTGTGTCTGGCAGGTCCTTTCTTCATTGACTCTCCTATGTTGAGGGCATGTGGCCCCCAACCCCTTTCCTGGCCAGCAAGGCTGCATGCTCAGATTAACCATTAGCCGCCCGGCCAATAGCCATTTGGTGGCCAGAAAAATGCCTTAGATTTCTGGGTGGACGCCATATGGCGTACTCCCGAGCATGTGCAGTTTGCACGCTTGCAGAGCCGCGTAGCGGAGCGATCTGTGACCGGCCGTGTACCTCGGACACGGCCAATGACTGATCTGAGTACCGGCCCCCGTTGCCGGTACCATGTGACCTGCTGTGACCAATCACAGCAGGTCACATGACAGTTGTATACAATGGATAGCTTCAATCATGCCATCCATTGTATACTAGTGTCTAGCTGTGAATGGTCACAGCGATCACATGCACATGTCATGTGATTAGCTGTGGCTAAATCACAGCTAAGCACGAAAAAAAAAAAACCCTGAATGAATCGGTCATTCAGGTAAATGCTTGCTTATAGCAAAGTAATTCTTTGCTATAAGCAAATTGTGTAAAAACAAAATACTGATCACTTCCCCAAAGTAGTACAATGTTACTATGGTCATAGTGAAATATGAAAAAAAAATCTTAAAAAAAAGAAAAAAAAATGTAATAAAAAATTAAAAAATAATTAAAAAAAAAAATATATATATATATATATATATTTTTTTTTTTTTTTTTTTCATACTGTCACCAGTCAGTGTCCCCGATCACCGCCATGCCAGTTATATGATGATGCTGTGCTGCACTGGGGACAGTATGTAAAAAAAAAAAATAGTGAAAATAATTTTTTTTATTTTCTTCATTTTCCGAAAAATTATGACAAAAAAAATACAACTTCAAAAAAACTCACCATTCCTCTTATGAAATACGTCGGACTGTCTACTCTGCAAAAAGGGGTCATTTGGGGGATATCTGTACTGTTCTGACATTCTTGGACCTCAAGAAATTAGATTGGCTGTCAGTACTCAGGATTGATCAATATTCAAATCTATACCATAGTTTGTGAACTCTATAACTTTCCTACAAACTACAAAATACATCCTAATATGGGTTATTTTCACCAAAGACATGTAGCAGAATACATCTTGGCCTAAATTTATGAAGAACAATTATTTATTTGCAAACTTTTATAACAGAAACAAAGAAAAACGTGGTTTTTTTTTCTTCAGAATTTTCAGTCTTTTTTTGTTAATTTAGCAAAAAATAAAAACCTCGGCGGTGATTAAATACCACCAAAAGAAAGCTCTAGTTATGTGAAGAAAATGATAAAATTTTAGCTTGGGTACAAAGTTGTATGACCGCGCAATTGTCATTCCAAGCGTGAGAGCGATGAAACCTGAAAAATGGCCTGGGCAGGAAGGGGTAAAAGTGCCCGGTATTGAAGTGGTTAAGGGTCTGGTATGGATTTTTAGGGGGAGCTCATGCACTGTTTTTTTTTTTTTTTTTTGTGTGTGAGAAACCCTCTTACAATCCATACAAGAATCAAATGTTCTGGTATGCTTTTTGAGGGGGACTCTACACTTTTTTTTTATCATTCATTTACAAACAACAAAAAAAATTACAGTACATTGTCAGAAAGTAAAACTTTATTGCCAATTTCGTTGAAAAAAAAACAAAAAGAAAAACCAGGACATAGACCCTTAGGGGTCTGCTATGTATTTTGGGGAACCTTTAGGGTCTATATGACATTTCTTTTCTTTTAAAAAGAAGAAGGGTGAGGTTGTTTCCTGCCATGAATGTCAGTGCTAAAAAAAAAAGAAAATCACTGCTCCTAGCCTTGTGGAGTTTTAAAAAAAATGTTTTTTGGATTGGTACATGTTTCCCACAGTAGTGCCCACTGTCTCAATCATGCACACAGAGATGGGCGCGGTCCTTCATTTTGCTCCCAAACCTCTGCATTTTGGTATTTTTTCTCAAACTCCAAATCAGGCTCCCTCCTCCGATTTCCCCCCTCCCTCAGAAATGCGTTCAGTGTACCTTGCTAAGGGGCTGTCTATGCTATCCTTTTCCCAAACAGGGCAATAAGCTTGCTATTGTAAGAAGATACCAATTGATTTTTGGATAGAAAAGAAACTGTTAGTTCTTGTGTGAGTCAGAAAAGGGAAGTCTGTCGGCTCTGTACCATCTAGCTGACCAAGAGTCTTGTTGGACCATCGCAACTAATTACAAGACCAGAAATCCCTTCTTTAGCTCATCAGACTTGAAACTGCTTAACCCCAGACATTTATTTGGCAAGTACTTACTTACCTAAACTTCTTTCTGTTATCTGTTGCTGTGCTGTATTGCTCTGTATATATATATATATTATATATATATATATATATATCTATCTTAGTTACATCTTCTCTGTAAATATTTTACTGCACCTGTTTGACCCTTTTAGTAATAAATCTTTCCTCTGAAAGTGTTGAACTGTTTCTATAGTTCTAAATTGCAATTTATGAATCTCTGCATTTAAAGAGACGCTACTGTTTGTTTTAACTCTCTGTATAACCTGCTTGTGTCAATGACCGAGTTATGCGGACGGTTATTTCAATTATTATAGTGTTATAGTGATATTGCACGTTTCCTCTTTCTCTGAACAAAAAGGAGGTGGTGGCAGTGTAAAGGGGTTAATTGCGTAATTAACCTGACCCAGTAACAATTGCTCAGGCTGACGACACATCGATCTGTTGTCCATTAGCTGGAAAATCATTGTGCAGGGTGCAACTGGGTGTGGCATTGTTACGCACGTCACATCGCGGTTTGGATCGGCCAGTCCTTCGGTCACGAGTTTGGTGAGAAGGTCTGGGGTCTGACGCCGCGATTGTGACATATTTGGTGGCAGCGGTCATGGGATTGTCGCATGTTGGTGGCAGCAATCTTGCGATCGTGACACCCACCCCTATGCTATTTTTGACTCCACCTGTCCATCAGAAAATGGGTATTTTAATTTGACAAATTTGGCTCATATTGATTTAATTAGGATTTGGGTTCAGAATCCAAACTTCTCTGAAGTTTGCCAAACCCTACTCAAACAGAACCCAGGGAAAGCCCTCAGCTCATTGCTATTCCTCATATAGAAGAGGATGGAGGTACTTCCCACTATGTGGCATGGGCACAGGTACCCCCCTGCCCCCTGAGCTGTTTCTCTAAGGATGAGTCTTTGTTATTTGAAATAACTGTGTTTACTATGCTTCAGTTTATGAATGCACATTAGCCTCTGTTCATTTATCTACAGTGCTGCTGAGGCTGCAGAGAAAGGGACTGGGAATGTGTTCTCAGTCCCTTTCTCTGCCTCAAAAGTGAGACTTAAGGGGTCTGTTTAGAACCCTGATATCTCAAAAAAGCCCCCCTTCCCCCAACAGCGTTGTGAAAAAAATGTAAAAAATTATCAGATGCAAATTAATTAAAAATTAAAATTAGGGGCCCCAGTGCATTATTTTGCCCACGGTCCCATGATAGTGTTATGGTGGCACTGCCCATGAGAGGCTCCTTGTACCTTTAATGGGTAACCAGCTTTAAGTCACCTGCTACTTTGCATGTCGCTGAGATCAGTGCCCCTCTGCACAGACAAGACATTATGTTGCATCACAAAGATGGTTGAGGCATGGTGGCCATCTTTAAGTCTACAGGCCCCATGATATCCTATTGCTTGGGGGCCCCATAAGATGTCAGTCTATCCCTGGTGGAAGCTTTGCGCTGTTTGCATTGCATATAACTGTTGTGTCTTAGTGATGGCAAGTATTTGGGTTGCGGTTGTGGAGCAGCCCCATTGACTTCAGTGGGCGAGTTTGACAGTTGATGCCAGGGCCGCCATTGGGGGGGGACCAGAGCATCCTGAGGGTCCCAGGTCCCAACCAGGGCCATTTTGAAAGTGCTGGGATGATAACTGTCTGTGTACCACTGTCAGAGTATCTAATAGTGCAGAGGAGGGCAGATTCCTGTTTGTGTAGGGAGAAGGCGGGACCCCACTATCAGGCAGGATGGGGGTGTGTGTCTAGCTGTGGGGAGAGTCGAGGAGCGTGGGTACTGGAGGAGGAGGAGGTTGAGATGAAGGAAGCTACCTGCTCTTTGCTGCAGCTGCCACCAGAATTCCTTAAGGATATCTTCTGCTGCCAGCCCTGGACACAGTCAACCTTCTTGGCCCAAATATGCTGCATATTCCCCACTGACATCATCTGGAGGAGGAGCAGCAGGACTTGTGAGATCTGAGGGACAGGTGTGCATGTGATAGGTGGATGTGATATGAGAGAGGTATGTTGGGAGCAGGGGCAAACTGACCATTCGAGAACACTGCCCGAGGGCCTGGGGTCAGTAGGAGGCCCCATGAGATGCCCCAGGTACCTTTCATAGGCTTTTTTGGGTGCGGTTTGAGTGTGAGCAAGGACACAGGGGCCTCATGATCCCCTATTGCCCGGGGGCCCCATGAGCTGTCAGTCTGCCCCTGGTTGGGGGGGGTGTGTGATCTGAGTAAAGGGATCTGGGGTGTGATGGGGTTGGGGTTATCTAGGGGGGTGTGATCATACTCCAGGTATCTGGGGGAAATCAGGGTGGGAGGGTATTTCTAAGGGATGTGATCAGGGTATCTGGGATGTGATCAGGAGGGGGGGGGGTGATTGTGATCAATGTGGGGGGTATCTAGGGGGTGTGATCAGGGTGGGGGGGGGGGTATCTAGTGTTGTCTTAATTTATGATGTCCACACAGAAACAGTTCATAAGACAAATCAGTTGTCTTATATCAATGAAGGGTGAATGATGAAGAGTGTATATATTTATATAATATGTACTTTTCCCGCAGCAACTAGTCCAACAGTTCTTTTTCAGAGAGATGCATTTATTTGGCCCAGAAACAATTCATAAAGCAGAGGTACAGATAAGGCAGATGACAGGGTATTTAGAATATTCATGCAATCATTAGAAATCTTCAGGTAACCCCTTTCTCCTGTCACAACTTAACCAAAAAGAAGCTTCCTTAATATACACATTTTTCCCATTCAGTACAATGGCAAGCACTCTGGTTGGCCACTTTTAGTAGCCCCTTTGATCTTCTGGGTGACAGGTAATGCCTTTTGGGCTTGGACAGTCTAATAAAAGTTGTCTAGATATTTCCTAAACTGCATTCTTTTACTATTAATTAGATAAACAAGTTACCCTTTGAAGAATGCTATTTACCATACTTAATACCCCTTTTCATGTTATTACATAGTAGTTCTTTCAAGCCTGACTGCGCTATCTGCATATTATCACCCTTGCATAAAATTAACATAGCAAAGAGTCCTTGGCTATGCATTTGTTGTAAAATACATCTAGCTCAGTCCTATTCTGGCCTAGACAAAAACGTGAGATTACACCACATACAGTATATATATTACAATATTCCTACATCTAGGGGGTGTGATCAGGGTGGGGGGGGTATCTGGGGAGATGTGATCAAAGTGGAGAATATTTGGGGGAGGAATATGATGGGTGTGGGATGGATGAGGAGGACATGGGATAGGGGAGATGGGACTGGGAGAGGAGGACATGGGATGGAGGAGATTGGACTGGAGGAGGAGGACATGGAATGGAGGAGGAGGACTTGGGATAGAGGAGATGGGACTGGAGGAGGAGGAGGACATTGGATGGAGAAGATGGAACTGGAAGAGATAAATGTGGGATGGAGGAGGAGTAGGACATTGGATGGAGGAGATGGGATTGGAGGAAGACATGGGAAGGAAGAGATATGACTGGAGGAGGAGGAGGACATGGGATGGAGGAGATGGGACGGGGAAGAGGAGAATGTGGGATAGAGGAGGAGTAGGACATGGGATGGAGGAGATGGGATTGGAGGAGGACATGGGATGGAGGAGATGGGATTGGAGGAAGACATGGGATGGAAGAGATATGACTGGAGGAGGAGGAAATGGGATGGAGGAGGTGGGACCGGAAGAGGAGAATGTGGGATGGAGGAGGAGGAGGACATGGGATGGAGGAGATGGGATTGGAGGAAGACATGGGATGGAAGAGATATGACTCGAGGAGGAGGAGGACATGGGATGGAGAAGGAGGACTTGGGATGGAGGAGATGGGACTGGAGGAGGACATGGGATGGAAGAGATAAGATGGAAGGAGGTGGAGCACATGGGATGGAGGAGATGGTACTGGAGGAGGAGGACATGGGATGAAGGAGGAGGAGAACATGGGATGGAGGAGGACATGGAATAGGAGAGATGGGACTGGAAGAGGAGGACATGAAATGGAGGAGGAGGACATGGGATGGGGTAGATGGGACTGGAGGAGGAGGACATAGTGGGATGGCCAGTGAGCAGATTCGGTGCGGCGACCAGTGGGTAGGCCCTAGGGAATGTTGGTGGTCAGGACCACTGGTTGTCCCACAGAATCCGCTCACTTGCCCTAGGGAATGTTGGGGGGGCCCATGTCTAAAGCTGTATAAGGGGCTGCAAAATATCTGATGGCTGCCCTGGGTGGTGCTGGCTGTCAAACTCAGCATGCCAAATTGAAATTGACACAGCCACAAAGCAATGCCATGGCATGTGTACAATCCCCTCTGGTTTCCATGTTTGCTTGTTGATAGACAGTCGGGGGTGGTAATAATGCAGATCAACTGCCATTTTTTTGCCAAACCTTGTACTACTGTGTAAAAGAGCCCTAATAAGCACAGAAGGTTCCCTTCAGATTTAATGCAATAATTTTTCAGACATTTTATACTGTCAGTGGTAATAGCTGAGTATCCAATTCCCACGCCCGGGTACTGAAAAATATATCTGGCTGATAAAAAAATCAGCCTAGAAATATGTATCAGTACAAAGCTGCTTTGTTTGTGTACTTGAATCTGGTGTGAGAAGAGGACACTGAGCTATGTGAAGAATTTCTTATGATAAAAGAACTGAAATTCATTTTCATGGCTATTCCATCTACAAGGCAGCAGGTTACTTTGGTTAACTTGTTATATATATTATTATTAGTAGGAGCAGTATTATTATTATTAATAATAATAAAGATTATAACAATATTCAGGTCAAATTACCGTACTAAATGGACTTCTATTCTACTTATGATAATTTTCACCTTTTTTGTGCCTTTTTTCTCAAGCGTCTGTGGGAATGTGCAAACTGCCAGCAGTTTGGGGATCAGCCATTTTGTAATTTTTTGACCAGTTGTTATTTTTCTTAAGATAAGGCTGTCACTAGGTGCGTCTTCCTCTCGTAATGATTTAAGTATGTGTATGGAAGGAAGTTTCAGGGAAAAAAAATTTTAATAAACAAAAGTACAGATATTTACCATCAGTGTGATTCATGTTAGAAACCTACAAAACTGGTTACTCTAAAATTGTTCCAAAGAGAAACTCAATTTTTACATTTTTTAGTCTTAGTGGGGAACATCTGTGCACCGTTCTACTGCTGCTGTTAGCTCACATACTACCCTTCCATTTGCCTTTCCTTCATAGTCCACATCTTCTTTAGCTGAAATACTTGGATTAATCTGCAAATAGACTGTTTACATGCAAGAGAAGTTGCACTTTGTATGGGAATTTTCCACAGAGCTTAGTAAATGATGTGAAGCTCTGCTAACTTCCATCAATCATGTTCAAGCAAAAGTGCTGTTTTTTATTTTCTTTGCATATGACTGGTTATTCTTTGCAAAGTAAAATGTCACCACATTCATTAAGCTCTAGTGAAAATTCCCATGCAAAGTGAATAGCCTATTTGCCTTTACTAAATCAACTCCACAGTCACTGTATCGGCCTATCTCAGCTACAGCAATTTATAGTCTAGTTCTGGGCTGAACACTTCTTCCCTGCAACCCATTGCACCTTACCGATTCATGTGAAGTGGGAATTTTAATGATAGGTTCAATGTGAAAGGTCCTATCAATGAATTTTTATTCCAGGCTGAGCCAATGCTATCCTACAGTATATCTCAGGACCTCAGCAGCAAGATGTCACAATTCCCAGCTCTGTTCCTGAACACCTTGGAGTCTCCATGGCAGGTATGCAGACCAGGGAAATCAAAGACACATGATTCCCTGAGAGACGTACAAATCTGTCAACTGTGTTAACTCTCCAACAACTCCATCTATTAGTACTGGGCTGACTGATTCTAAGTTAAAGTATATCTAAACCTTAACGTATGACATTTTATTTGCTAAAACATTCTTTCTTGAATATCAGTACTACTATTCTCCCCCAGCCTCTTGTAGCCTCTTCCTGTCTAATTACATGGGCTCCAGTGTTGCCTGTAAACACTGTTGCTCTGGACTGGCTTCTTGAAAGTGACTAAAATGGACCATACCACTTCATTGTGTGGGTAGGTACAGCTGCTTGCAGTCTCTTCCCAAGGCCCATGTGACAAGGTGACAATACAGGACCACAGCTGGGAAATAGTTATCATAGGAAGTGTCTGAACAAGGACCTTCATGGCAGGATCAACATTTATCACTTTCTTGTAAGCTAAATGTTTAAAAGTTAAAAAAAAAATTAAATCAACTTTTAAAATATTTACATATTAATGCCTATATAAGATTTTAATGATTGTTTAAATCTGCTTTAATCCTTTCAACTGATCGAAGTCAATGTTCTGCAACAAGTCCGTGATCCTGGGAACTACAGTTGCCATCAGAGGCTTTTGAGACAGATAAATTAAATAAAACAAATTTTAAAATATTCTGAATGGGAAGGTGGGAAGAAGTTGGCTGAGAAGTTGGAGTGTCCAGGCAACTAACATGTTAGCCAGCACGGAGAAGGGACTGAAGGAGACAGTGTGGCAGAGGATTGTTTGAGAGGCTGTCCGGTTCATTTTTTTTCTGTGAGGGGGATATTACCACTGTTGTTGACGGTTCCTGGATTAGTGAGTAAGGTCCCCATGGGAGATGCTGATCTGTTTGGCATTGAGCGCCTTTGAAGTGTGTTGGCCCTTAGTTGGTCCAAATATGTAATGTTTTGGGGGTAATTTTAACATGTGGGCAAAAAATTTAAAAATTAATTGTTGGCAAGTGGTAAAATACTACAGATTGTGTAATGATGATGATAATGATGATATTTTTTAAAATTTGCACTTAAAGCAATACTAAAGGCTTAAATTTAAATAAAAAAACAAACAAACATGCTATATTGATCTGCTCTGTGCAGGGGTATTGCACAGAGCAGCTTGGATCCTCTTCCCGGGTCCTCCCCTGGCATTCCTGGCCCCTCCCTCCTGTTGGGTGCCCCCACAGCAAGCAGCTTGCTATGGGGGCACCTGAGCAGGCATGGTTCACACATGGAGCCTCGGCTCGGCCCCACCCTCCTCTCTTCTCATTGGCTCACTGGCCATGACTGACAGCAGCAGAAGCCATGGTGTCAGCCAATGAGGAGAGGGACTCCAGAGTATTAGGGGGGTAAGGTAAAAAACCTTGAGCCTTTGCTACCACTTTAAATCCATACAAAGCTTAGAAATTGTATTTTACAATGTTACTGGTACATCATTTTTAATCTACATTTTCTGCCTTTGATAAAGTCATAAGTATTGCTTGGACCTTGAAGAAGGGTGAAACCCTGAAAGCGTATCCTGAAAAAAATAGGAAAAAAAATATATATATCGTGGACAGTAAACAATTGGTTCTTATACC